CTCTCTCTCTTTCTTGCACTCTCCTTTTCTCTCCCCCTCTCCTCCTCTCTCTCTTTCTATTTCTCCCTCTCACTCTCTCTCTTTATCTATCTATCTGTCTGTCTGTCTGTTTGTTTGTCTGCCTATCTATGTATTACTCTCTCTATCAGTTTATCAATTTGTCAATCAATCAATCAATCAGTCTATCCGTCTATAAAAATTCCGTGTATCTGTCCATCCCTGTCCGCTTCCTTCCTTCACTCTTTCTCTCTTTTTTCTGTGCATCTCACTTTCTCTCTCTCTTTTTTCTGTGCATCTCACTTTCTCTCTCTCTTTTTGCATCTCCCTTTTCCCCCCTCTCTTTTTGCATCTCTCTCTCTTTTTCTTTTTGTATTTCTCTTTTTCTCTCTCATTTTACATCTCTCTTTCTCTCTCTCTTTTCGTATCTCTCTTTCTCTTTCTCTTTTTGCATCTCTTTCTTTCTCTCTCTCTTTGCGCATCTCTCTTTCTCTCTCTCTTTGTGCATCTTTCTTTCTCTCTCTCTTTGCGCATCTTTCTTTCTCTCTCTCTTTGCGCATCTCTCTTTCTCTCTCTCTTTGTGCATCTTTCTTTATCTCTCTCTTTGCGCATCTCTCTTCCTCTCTCTCTTTGTGCATCTTTCTTTATCTCTCTCTTTGCGCATCTTTCTTTCTCTCTCTCTCTTTGTGCATCTTTCCTTCTCTCTCTCTTTGTGCATCTTTCTTTATCTCTCTCTTTGCGCATCTCTCTTTATCTCTCTCTTTGTGTATCTTCCTTTCTCTCTCTCTTTGTGCATCTTTCTTTATCTCTCTCTTTGCGCATCTTTCTTTTTCTTTCTCTTTGTGGAATTCTCTTTCTCTCTCTCTTTCTCACTCTGTTTCAACAGCTCCGCCTTCCTCTCCGTAACTATTGATTAAAGAACATGCCTATCTATGCCCGGGCAAATCCATCTGTGTGTAAATATATGGCGGGCATAAAGAAAAAAGATATGGCAACAATCTAACAATTGGGGCAAAAATGTTTTTGTTTCGTAGACTAAATGTTTTCATTTTGCTTGCGATGGGATCAGCCGTATCCATTTGTTTTGTAGAACGCTGCATTCGTTTGTTTGTTCATTTCCTTTATCATGATTCTTTTTTTTTTCTTTTTTTTTTTTTTTTACTAGAACTGACTTTTAGAGTTGCAATTATCTAAGCACCACACACACACACACGTACACAAAATCCCGCCATAGAAAAAAAAGGTCCTTCTTATTCCTTTTTCAAAGATGATTTCCTCTGATATCCACATTGATGTTTCTCTCCAGGGACATCGGCGCGTCCTTGCCTTGGAGTGATCCTCGGGCTTCTACTCTTGCGCCTCCTGTGACGGCGTTACGATGACGAAACCACGGCACAGGAGCGGAGGATGTCGCCGCTCGTCGATCCTGAGTGACGACGCTGGTCTCCTCCACAACAGCGCACAAGACCAGCTGCAGACAATGTACTTGCATATACTCTTGTGCTGGTGTCTCTGTCTCTGTAACGTATATGTAACGCTCTGTAAACTTACTGTTCGACGCTGCAATAAGCTGACTGCATGTTCTTGTTCGTGTGAGGATGTGGTGACGGTAGATTCCCCCCACCCCCTCCCCGTGTCGGCGTAAGGGGTAAAGGCGTATAGGGGTCTCGTGACGGCCACAGCGGCGGTGCCAATTGGACTTTGTGTACATATCAAATAATCAACGAAGTGAACAGAGTATTCTTTCAGTAAGGCAGGATAGATCTTTCGTAAACTTATGTGCAGGCAGACGTATGTATACACGCAATACCTAAAAACGTATAGGCACAGGTGTAGCTGTGAAGTATACATATCTTTCTTGTCTATTCTACACTCTCTCTGTATATGATATGAACTCATATGTACACACACACAAACAAACAAACACAGACGCACGCACACATACAGATAGATAGACAGATAAATTCAAAGATACACACATACACTCATAAACCTACAAATATTCACACACATACACGCATAAACCTACAAATATTCACACACATACACGCATAAACATACAAATATTCACACACACACACGCATAAACATACAAATATTCACACACATACGCTAACATACAAACAAAACCCCTTTGTCCGAACGTCTAACGGATCGGATATCCTTAGTAACAACGTTAGTCCGTCACAGTAGAACGTTCATAATTCTTGGAACTTTTGCTTAATGTATATCTTTGTTAAAGTTATTGTTGGGATAATTTCCATGAAAACTCCCTCATACGAAAGTCCACAGTATTTCCCCGTCACTGCACAGATTTTTTTTCCTTCTCTTCTGCTATATCTTTCTTGTTTTATTTGATTTATCTTTTTTCACTTCTTCTGGACCTTGGTATCCACTTAGCAATTATCCAGTCTGCCTTAACCATAGTTTCCTTCTCCTACTCTCTCTTTCTCTCTCTCTTTATTTTTTTCTCTTTTGCTCTTTCTTTTTCGTTATCTGTTGATTACTCTCACTCTCTATTTCTTTCTCGCATTCTCTCTCTCTCTCTCTCTTTCTCTCTCTCTCTCTCTCTCTCTCTCTCTCTCTCTCTCTCTCTCTCTCTCTCTCTCTTCTCTCTCTCTTTCTCTCTCTCTTTTTTTTCTCTCTCTCTCTTTCTCTCTCTCTTTTTCTCTCTCTCTCTCTCCCTCTTTCTTTCTTTCTTTCTCTGCCTCTCCTTTTAACTCCACCCTTCTCTCTCTCTCTTTAAGGTAATATATATATATATATATATATATATATATATATATATATATATATATATATATATATATGTGTGTGTGTGTGTGTGTGTGTGTGTGTGTGTGTGTGTGTGTGTGTGTGTGTGTGTGTGTGTGTGTGTGTGTGTATGTATTACACATATACATACATACATATATACACACCAATACTGTACGAGTATGTTCACACACATAAATACGTATGTAAAATTCTTTCCATTTCCTCTATCTCTTTCTCTCTCTCTCTTTCCCTCTTTTACACCCCCACAACCTTTCGACCTCCTCCTCCTCCTTTCACTCCACATCCCTACATTACGTAGAAAGTCTTGAGCTCCCGTACATTCCTGAATCACTCGGCGATGAGGAGCTTGTTTCCAGACTTTACAGAACCACGTCTTCCTCCCTCTCCTATTCCTCACGCTAAGCACTGCTTCTCCTGTACACTCTCCTCCCCAATCTCCAGTAAAAGTAGAACGGAGGCTGTAAATACGATCAATATAAAACAAACTGCAGAACTTTTTATTTGTTTCCTCCAGCGAGGGAGCGCCTGACTCCGATCACGATCTTTTCACAGAATTTCGTTCGACGTATTAAAATTCTTCCTAGATTTGCGAATGCTCTCTTATGCGAACTTTGGGACAGAGGACGAAGTCTATCGATTTATTATCTTGAGGGAATGGAAGAAAGGGAGTATGGGACACTAATAAGAAGAGATTTTTATTCTTCTGCTCCTTTTTCTTTATGGATGCATATGCGCAAATTCCCTCTCATGAACAGAAGCGCTTTCCCTTGCGTTAAGAAAAAAGTTAGTTTCTGCATCCGGAACCAGTTTGAAAATTATCCTTTTTCTTTTCCTCCGCGATATTCCAGATCTGACAAGGAGAAATCACCACTGGATTTGATAGGGGGAATTTGACCAAGAATAAATCCGTGTCGTGTCCATCATTCACCTGACAGGCGTCACTGCAGACGCGGGAACAAATTCAGGTGACGTGATAAATGTCGCTATAATTTTGGTCTTTGTGATGGTTTTGTGGCAATAATCTGATTGTTATGGTAAATATGGTTTTGATGAGGTTATAGGATCATTAACCTTTTAAGTGACTCTGTGGACTTACCGAATTAAGCTGACTTACGTGTTTGCCATGTGTAGCTAGAGAGAATTAAAATGATTATTACATCTTCCGACTCGATAAACCACGTAACACTCACATTTTTTTTTTCTTTTTGCAAGGAAATCCTTTACATACATTCAAAATAAATCTCAAACAAAGAAAGAACAAAACACATTGAAATACGGTAGAAAACATCACTCACAAAAGATCATGTATTGTAGAATTTCTCCGAAGACATGGAAGCTGAGGAACTCTTATATTGCCTCACGCGACGTCTGCACAGCCCGCTAAAGTGACACGTTATCCGCAAGCAGCCATGTGGAGGAGGACAAACAGCCAAAAAGCCTGGCAGCTGGAAGCCATTTTATTGGTCATTTTGCTTTGAAACCTTGGCGTTTTTTTTGTTTTCTTTCGTTGCTGGGATACAAGTTCTTAAGAATAGGACGGAAGTAAACGATGTGTAAATGTGTTATCTGGTTTCTAATGATAAGAAGGGGAATTTTAAAATCTCGTTATATATATATATATATATATATATATATATATATATAAAGAAAAAAAAAGTTTGGTGGAAAGTCATCGGCCATCTTGAAATACACATGATTGCGCTTTTTTTTTTTTTTTTTTTTTTTTTTTTTTTTTTTTTTTTTGAATGAGCAGTCTACATGCGATCTCACGATGCTAATATATACAAGATGTCTAAGCCGGGCGTTGGCAACACTGCTCGAAGAAAGGGTTGTCAGGGGGTGGGGTGGAGGGAGGAGGGAGGGGGAGAGTCGCCGTTGGTCTTTCAGCGTCATTTGGCATGTCTGTTGTCATTGACATATTTGTTCCTAATTACTCCTTTTATTGTCATTTACACACTTATTACTATCATTGTTTTCATTGTTTTTATTATCACTGATTATGATATCGTAATCATTATTATCATTGTTTTTATTATTATTATTTTATTATTTCATTATCACCAATTACTTGAATACTGTTCATTATCATTATTCTAATCATCATTATTATTGTGATTGTTATTGTCGTAGTTTTTATCATCATTGATTATTACTGTTGTTATTGTTATTATTATCATTGTTATTATCATTATTATCATCTTATCACTAATCTTATTATCATTATT